GAATCAGAATGGAAACAGGTGTGGAATCTTCTTGGAACTGCTGAAAGTACTGTGTTGTAAACAGGAGATAGAGGTGTGGTATCCCTCCCCCTCTGTTGAGAGTGGGCTGTTCAATTTTAACATAGATGACCTCTTTGACCCCCCTCTGTTCAGAATGCGAACTTTGAAAGAGGGGTCAAAGATGCAACATCTTAAAAGACTATCTTTTTGCTCAGTAGACTAAATGCCCATCCCAGTAAAAGCACTTTTAATCACGTTTATCAATATTTAAAATAACAAAACTAAAGTAATGATGAAAAAAAGCAATATTAGGTCATCTAGATTCTGTGAGAGACTTCTGAACATCAAGCAGAAATCAGGTAATATATAAAGACTTTGACATTTTATAATTCTATTTTTCTGAGTCCTTCAAACTAAACTGAAAGGGTTTGTCATAACCCATAAGATGGCTGTAGTCTTGAGCAAAATTAAAAAGGAATGGATTAACAAGCATTGCTCTTCTTTTCACATAAAATGTTGTGAACATCTTGCTCATGTCTGGAACAGTCACATCTTTCTGATGGAACAAAGTTTTCTTTTCTCTCAAAATGCCACTGTATGTAATTGCTGTATATGTGTCCGTTTTATCTTTATAGTACAGACGGATAATATACCTTCTAGTAAATAAATGTAAGAGCAGTGGTGTTAGGAAAATGAAGAATAGTGTGGCACTATAAAAAGCAATTTCCGAGTAGAGTTTGTCAAAATTTAAGCCATACTTGTGTATAATAGCAAACAACATGGAAGCAGTAATTATGCTGGTGGTAAAACAGAACATTTTCACTCCTGCAAGAAAAGAAAAACATGTTAATAGTTAAGAGGTCCAAATTGGCTCCCAACCACATATTGGTATACACTCAGACAGTAATTCAAGAGCTATGCAGTACTAAGAGCCATTTACATCCATTTGCTGGGAGGGCCATCTTCCTCAGTAGTATTGGCTTCTGAATTGATATAGTTCAGTTAACAGAGCTAAATGAAATATTTAACAATATGCAGCAGTTTGAATGGGAAGCCGAAAAGAGGCACTTGCTGCAGCTGTTATCACTCCTATAAAGAAATGGCTGCCAGAAAAAGTTGTACAGGTAGTTCTTGTTTAGCAATTCTAATTATGACTAGTTGTTCTGTTAAGTGAAACAGTTGCTAAGTGGAAAATCATGTGACTTTCCCTTTTCCCAAACCCTCCCAAGCTTTGAGATGCTTGAAACTGACAAGACTAATCAGTTTCACACCTTCTACTTTTGCTTCCCTCCTAACTAATCCCCCAGCTTTGAATGCTCACCCTGGCTGGATGCTGGGATAATTAACAAGAAGGAAATTAATAAATTAATTATTGATTGATTGATTGATTGATTGATTGGTTCGATTTATATGCTGCCCTTCTCCGGAGACTCAAGGCGGCTTACAATGCGTTAAGCAATAGCCTTCATACTTTTGTATATACCTGCTTAGTAGGGCTTTTGCCCCCCCCCCCAAGCGGTGTTCTTTTTTATACAAAGTCAGCTTATTGCCCCCACAATCCGGGTCCTAATTATATTTATGTTTGTTGGAGACAGATTACAAAAGAATATGCAGGCACAAAATGAGGAATACACATCAAAAGCAATGTGATGCACCCGCAGCTATAAACATATTATGCAAATAGTCCAATTTATTGCCCATGGTGTGCCTGCTTAACATTTTGTAATCCCTTCCATTCTAATTTCCTTCTCTGGGGAAACAAGCGATTTCTAAAGCAATCTTTCTTGGGCCTGACTATTTTTCCCGCCCAACACCCAGAATAGAAACACTGGAGTGGGAGGGATTACAAGAGCGCACCTCTTTTTTTAATCAAGTTCCACCCTTTTGCTACTAATTGTTGCCCTGCCAGGCATCTAACACATATGCCACTGATATGAAGAATGTTTTTAAAAGTTGCTAGTATGCTTCTGGGTCCAATTATCACCTTTAAAGCTCTTTATGGCATGGATCCAGCCTATCTGAAGAACTGCCTCATCCCAGTGGGATTGGCCTGGAGGGAGTATGGTGCAGGCCACATTGGCCAAAGAATTTCAACTGGCAGGATCCAGGAGAAAAGCCTTTTCTATCATGGCTCTCTGAACATGCTGCTCTCATAGTGAGGTCTGGCCCTACCCTTTTAGCCCTTAAAAAAACACTGCAAACCTGGCTCTGCAAGCTGACTTGAGCCTTCCACTTTGGAGGTGGTTACTAGATTCAGAGAAGTTTCCATCTCCATTCCATTTACATATTAGTCCCTTTTTATCTAGTCCTTGGTTAATTTTAACACTTTAAGCCTTAATGTTTAATGTTCCTTAATGTGTTATGTTTTTATATTATTTGTGAGATGGTTGGCATATAAATTTAATAAAAGCATAAAAGAACAGATGAGAAACAAATATTTTGTTAAAAAAGTACTTTGGAAGGCAATTAAGCAGGCAATTAAGTGGGCCAGCATTTCTCATATTGACCAACGACCAAGAATTTGAAATAGTTCCTAATAGCTATGATTAGGAGAGAGGGCTGCAGACTGGTATAGTTCAATAAATGAAGACTCAGTTTTTTCTTTGCTTTAAATTTACAAAAAGTAATGTAAGTTTTAAAGAGTTGTTATGTTCTACTCAGAGTTAAACCCTTATCAGTTTAACGAAGCTTGTTCCTCCAGATAACTGGATATGAATTCTCATAATTTTCAAAAAGCATGGCCATAAAGGCTGAGAGAGTGGTAGTTACTTGAATCAAGAGAGCATCAAATTGGTAATGAGATATCAGGCAGTATCTCAAAAACCCAGAGATAACAATGTAGTTTGACTATACTTTGGAGAGGAGTCCCAGCTGGCTATTGCTCATTTTTCAGGTGGTTGTACATAAAACAGAAAACTTTATAGCAACTTATACTCAGAACATTAGAACATATTTACATCATACAAAGATGCCAAGAAATTCATTTCCATTTTTTACTTAGGTTTAATTCAAGGCAGGGGAGAACCTTGTTTAAACCCAAATACTTCTTGGATTATCTCTTTCCAGCCACCAGCATTTTTCCTTCCAGCCATTGTGTTCTCCAATAGACTAAAAGGAGCCACCCAGGTGCTCCAAAAGTATTTTTGGGTTTTAGGCAGGAGAAATATGTAACAGAGAAAGCATCTTAGCATTCTTCTTTCTAGCAAGAGTCACAAATGCCTGGGTTAAGCTACTACATTAAGTAGTATTTAAATAAGATATTTAAATGCATAAGCAAATTTATAGCTAACACACTTTGCATGCATTTCTGTATGAGAATTCTCACTCACGAAAAGTTAAAAAAAACAAAAAAAAAACAATGCCAACACACTTACCTAATACAGTTTTTGATAAAGTTCCAGAATAAATTAATCTTCCATATTCTGAATGTTCCTCCAGGGGTGATGTACCAAAGCGACATAGAGACACTGCACGGAGAAATGGAACCTAGGGGCCAAATATCATATATAATCAGTATCAATATCTCTTCCAGTAAGTTTACTCATATATCAACATTTATATGCAGACATGCTTTCTTCTGGCAACTAATTTAAATAATAATCCTGAGAGTCTGATTGAGATCGGCAAGATGCTGCCCTACTTCTAACCATGCTTCCCTTTGTTGGGTGAGTGATGCATAGACCACTTGAAAAATTAAGATACCCTGTCCACGATTCATATATATTTATTGTGTAAGGTTTATATGGCCACCTATCTTCTGCAATATAATCTTGGGCAGCGGACAACATGACAAACTAAAGCAACCACAAATACCTTTTAGATGTCCCTCCTTAATCATTAGCAATTTCCACTCTATGCAACATGTTTGCTGCTATACATGGATTTCAAAGAAGCAGCAACAAAAGCATTTTGAAGTTATTTCCTACCAAATTAAAACGAAACCGTTTGCTTTTATCACCTGGTGGAAAAATATATATACATCTCAGATTTTGTTTCGAATTTTCTGCTGCTGCTGGGCTATGATACCCTGATACCTTTCATCCCAAGCGTTCTTCGGCTGAGCACAGGTAGGTAGCATGGATCGCTCAGGAATTCTGGGACCTGCACGCATCTTAAAGCTCCCGAGGTCGAGAAATCACCGGATTGCAGCACTGATTGTAGATCCGCACGTGCAACAACCCGCAGGCTTTCCACGGGAACTTTCGCCCTCCCTCGCCGTGTAAGGAAGCACCGTTCGCTGCAAGCACTTACCTGCTTTTTTTCTCCCAGCCAAAATTGGGATGGAAACGCTCGGGGCGAACCAAGCGGCGTTAGCAGTTTGCAATGGGAAACCGTGAAGGGTTGGCTCTTCTCGGAGATTGTCGCCAACCTCTTCGCCGGCTGGAGGGCCCTACATCTTCCGGCGCTTTGCTGCCACAGTTTTAGGCCGGGAACGTGGAGCCTCAACCCGGCCACCAGCAACATCTCCTTCGCGGGAAGCCAAAGCTACTGGGCAGAGCAAACCGAAGGCAGCTGCGGGGCCTCCTCTTCCGGCCTACAGAAGGCCGAAAGCGGCGCTGGGAAAGTTACTGCAAAGCGCCGCTGTGGGAGGAGCGCGACGTTTCAAGTTCAGCGCCTCTGCCTGAAGGTGGGGCTGAAAGGCGTTTGAAATTACTGGGATCCCGGTCAAATGCCAAGAACCCGACTTTTCTCAGCCGAGGGAATGGAGCCCCGTTTGAAGTGCCCCTCTTCAAGTGGTCCCGGGAAAAGAGAACTCGAGAAGCGATGGTGGAAGAAGCAATTGGACTATTTTTTTTTTTTTAAAAAAGCAATGCCAAGTGAATCAAAAATGCACTCCGGGGAAACTTAACATAAGATTTGGGAATATCCCCCCCTCCCCTTGGAATATGAGCTACATATGTAAACATACTGCAAAGGATTCCCTCTGTTCTGTACCTGGAATAAAATGTTTTTTTTAGAAGGGGGGGAATAAGACTAGGAAATAAACAAAAACCATAGCATTTGATTTGCTTAAACATTTATTTGAAGCTTACATGTTTCAGTTACAAAACTCAGTTTTCTGATAGGGCCAATATTTACAATCTAATTATCATGTTAAATCTGGTACTAAAATTAATGATTACAACTGAATATAAGTGTGTGGAAGGAGTGTGTAACATACATAACACAGAGTATTATTGGTTACAGAAATGCAGGTTTTATTATCCTGTAAGAATAGCTTTTCATAGCCCAATATTCCCCTGCTGTCCTAATCCACAACTATTCTAATCACACTATGGGAAAGCATCAGGTTGAGGAAGGTAGCTCAGAATATTTGCCTAATTAGGATGAAATGTTAATGAGAAATATACTGAATATAAGGATTTTTTAAAAACCAATGGAAAAACTATTGGCTAATGAATTAATATTCTACACATCTCTCCTACTTAGTGTAATAAACTAGGAAGTCTTGCAACAAGTCCATTGGACTTAGTTTTTTTCATATGAGAATATTTCCCAGATTATATTATGAGTTTAAACTCAAGAATATAGTATATCTAGTTCGCTAAATAACTATTGACACATAGAGGTGGTTTCATAGTTTCCTTTAAACTTTCTGGTGCTGCAACAATAGCCCTTTTGATTAAAATTCAATGCAAAAAAAATAATCTATAAACACACACCCCTCCCCCCAAAAATCTATGTTAATAATTTAACATATAATCTTTAAAGGTTGGGTTGAGCCTCAACCCGTTGCTCCAATGTTTCCACAATGTTTTTCAAACGTTCTTCATCGTTGAAGAAGAACACATAGAGTTTTCTTTCCATCTCCTGTACTTTATTATTCTCCAAGACATCCTTCTTAGCTTTTATATCAGCAAGGAAATCTGTAATAAGCTGATTTATTTTATTCAACTGGAATTCCAACTGTTGTAACTGTTCAGACAGTTGCTAAACATGAGAGAAATACAATAGTGAGTTCAATACATTTCTGTCCCACTATATCCTAGAAATATCTTCATATTAACTCTTTTATTTATGCAAACATGAGCTTTTTCTGCCCACATCTTTTTGAGATATGGTTCTTTAAAATTAAAACTTGGAATTCTTGGCATTTATACTGTAAATCAGGAATATGAAAATTTTGATTTGATTCTATAGGCCAACTATTACTGGTCGTTGGCAAGAACCTTCTATTAAATAAAAAGGTATGGCTGGGTTCACACAAAACATTAGATTGGGAGTCTCAAGCTCAAATATTCAAAAGTGCTGATGTCAACTGAATAGCCATTTCACTTTGGTCATGTAGCTTATTGCATATTTATTTATTAAATTTATATGTCACCCATCTCACTATCCAAAGCAACTCTGGGCTGCTGACAATATAATAAAAACAACAAAAACAATTAGATAAATACAAAAACAATTAGATAAAACTAAGAACCAAATGCATGAGTGGTATGAAAGTGGGCTCTAACTAAAACACCAATATCTGGTGTAAGTAACCCAGATCGAAAGAGCTACCCAAATCCTGCTTTTATGTTCTTTCTCTCTTCTTGATGAGTACAGCAATTTTAATTTCCTTGCATTCCTTTTTAGATCTGCCCCAGAAGCACAATTTCCCAATTACCTGACATGCTGTTCTATTGATTGATGTGGCCTCTGGCCATAGATGACTCCAAACTCTTGATGAAAATGCCTCCAAGTGGCCTCTTTCAGTGCACCAATGTCAGAATATACTTTGGTCCACTGAGGAGGCCAGAAGATGCATCAGAATTGTCTTAGAAGGTAGGTGAAAGAAACAAGAGGCCAGAAAGTGTTTTTCCACCATAGTGTCAATGCACCTGAAAGACTTCTCTTAAACAAGCACAGTTCCCACCTCCAAAGACAGAACCCTGATAGGAGAGGGCTTTCAGAAAATTATTATTCACAACTGGTAATATTTACTGAGTATTGCAGTAATTCTTCATGAACCTGAATTGAATTATATTATTTGGGGTTGCAGATTATTTTTACTGTATACACTTCACATAGCCAGCACTGCAATTTTATGTTGGGTCTTCATTCTCTTCCAATAGTGGAAATACAAAAAATAACATTGGAAAGCCAGAAAAAACAATTATCTTTGACTTACGACCATAAATTAGGCCCAAAATATATGTTGCCAAGTGATAAATTTGTTAGGTGAGCTTTGCCCCATTTTATGACTTTTCTTGCCACATTTGTTAATCGTTGCAGTTGCTAAATTAGTAACATGATTGTTAAGCGAATCTGGCTTCCCCATTGACTTTGCTTGTCAGGAGGTTGCAAAAGGTGATCACATGACTTTGGGACACAGCAATTGTCATAAAAATGAACCAGTTGTTAAGCGTCCGAATGTTGTTTGGGGATGCTGCAACAGTCATAAGTGTGAAAAATGGTCATAAATCTTTTTTTTCAGTGCCGTTGTAACGTCAGTCCCTAAATGAACAGTTCTAAGTCAAGGACTACCTGTATTGTCACAGTGAAGCAGGGGCTGCAAGCTTGGCGTTCAACAGATGTCAATATGAACAGCTGATAGCACTAAGATGGTCAAGAAAAAAGAACCAGCCTGAGTCAGAATATTAAGGCTAGGTCCACAGTGTGTCACAGATTTGGAAGGATTTAATTCTGCCTACCAGCTTTGTGATATCTTACTAAAGAGTTTAGATTAAACACATCAAAGTTATGTGAATAAGGTACTTTCTTATAATTACAGTAAGTATTAAAAAATGTATGGCTGAATAGTCCATGAAACCACTTTCTCAGATTATCATAATCCAATTACTTACCTGATTACTAAGGCACACACTTTCTCCTTTGCAGTATATGGAATCATGAAGAATTGTTAAATCAGCATCCATCTTTGACAAAAGATGATTTTGTTCTTGGCCAGCTAGCACTAATCGGTCAAGCACCGATACTGAATCCAAATGCAAATTTTCAGCCATCTCCTCAAGCCTTTCATATGTTCTAAATAATTGCTTTGGATTCCTTCCTTCCAGAAGTTTACACATCCTTTAAAATATGTATAGAGGTGGGAAAAAAATACAACATAGTTAACAATGCCAGTATTTCATTAACAGCGAAGCATAAAATATTACATTATTTAATAAAACATGTAAAGTCCGGTGCAAATACAGCAGTACAAAAGATATTTGACCTTTGCATCCATGTTATGCTTGGTTCAAGAGTCACACTTGACATTATTTCTGGAATTCATTATTTTAAATAAATAAGACCAAACCCTGGCAAAGTAGGGCTGACTTGGGAATGTATCCAATATCAAGCAGCTGTTGTATTGTATATATTAATACAGGGAGAACATTAAACTATCCAATATTCTTGGTTGAAATGTTACCAAAATTAGATGAAAATGTACATTTGATGCAAACTGTAACATCCATACACTCTTTTATTTAAGGAAGGAAGTAAATTATACTCTCCAAACCAAATAACAAAATTCCAAAATACTTGTATATTAAAAGTGAACTTGGAAACTGTTTATCTGCAAAGTTTGGATGGGAAGTGAGATCACATCCATTGATTTTAAAGGTCATTCTCCATTTCAGCTTTCTATACCTCTGCAGAAAAATCGTCTATTCCCAACAATCAGTTTTCATGCAGGTATTCAGATTAACAACTGTTTGACTAGAAACAACTTAAAATACTGTACAATAAAAAGAAAGTAAATGTCTATTATGAGTTCATACAAACATAGGTAATCCTCAACTTGTGACCACAATTGAGCCCAAAATTTCTGTTGCTAAGGGAGACATTTGTTAAGTGCATTTTGCCCCATTTTACAATCTTTCTTGCCACAATTTTTACATGAATCAATGCAGTTGTTAAGTTAGCAATGCAGTTGTCAAATGAATCTGAATCAAAGTCCCCATTGACTTTGCTTGTCAGGAGGTCACAAAAGGTGATCACATGAGCCAGGGACACTGTAGCTGTCATAAATAGGAGTCGCTTGCCAAACATCTCAATTTTGATCAAATAATCATGGGGATGTGGAAGCAGTCATAAATGTGGAAGAGTTATAAGTCGTTTTCAATGTTGTCGTGACTTTGAACAATCACTAAGCAGAGTGGATAAAAATCGATTAATTTTTTTTTAAAAAAAACTTTTTTTATTTAAATCATTTTTTATTAAAATTATTTTAATAAAATGCTTTTGTAAAAATCTATCTAGATACATTAATAATTTAGTTTATTCAGCATGAAATGGAGCTTAATTATGTAGCATGAGGCTGTATATTCTGCAAAATTAGGACTGTTGGTGAGTCAACAGCGGGTGAGAGGAGGAGCTGCTGTGGGACAGAGATGACAGTTGCACTTTAAAAATTATGATCAAAATAAAGTTGATTGAAATCAAGCCTTTTTACTAGTGATTTAAATTGTGATTTAAATCGACTTGATTTAAATCAAATCCACCCTGTCACTAAGTGAACTGATGTATGTCGAGGACTACCTGTACATAACAGAATATGCTTAGAACAATTACCAACAAATTATTTTTATGTTTTGGCCTGAGATTTATTTATTGACAACAGGCCTTATGTTTAGTGCTTCAGTAAGTTTGAAATAACCAGCTTCTTACCTATGTGCTGCAATATCCTTTGGCTCAACAGTGCTTCTTGGTGTCCTTTGGAGGGCTATAGAAGGCTCAGACATTGTTTCTATTGTCCGTACTAAAATGTCATTGCTTAATTTCAGGTCTTGCACCATATTTTCCAGCAGACGGCTATTTTCCCTAAATTTTTGAAATTCAATTTCATATGCCAACTGAAGAAATTCAAATGATGCCTTCTGTTTGATCAGCTGGTTACAAATTTGATCCTGCCTAGATATATAGTAGTCCTGTCGAGCAATTTGTAAATCAAAATCCCCTTTAACCACAGGCATATTCAAGAGCTCTGCATTTTCCTTAATCAGTGAAGGTAGGGTTCCACTGTTTATTTGTGATAAATCTATTTTTATTTTTGCAATGTCATTATTCAAGCTAGAAATTTTAGCTTCAAAGTTTTCTTTTCCATGAATCTGCAAAATAGAGAAATGGTTTCTGAGTTTCAACCAACAGAGTTGAGGTACTCTAGGTCAACAATTGAACAATGTCATCTTGTAAGACACAAGAACCTTCTCTATCACAATGCCTGCTCTATGGAATACATTCTAACCCAATTCTGGCCTTTAAAAAGTCCCCAAGACCCGGCTCTTCCACAATGCTCTCAGCCAGGATATGTCTGTTGCAACTACTTAAAATCTGTGTTTTTCCCTAAAGAAGTGTGTTCTGTTTTCATTGTCTTCTTTACATATTGTGATGTATTTAACCCTTACTAGCTGCTCAGAATCATTTGAGAAGTGATCAGCTATATCAATTGAATACATTCCATAACACACTATATTTTGAAGTATAATTACAATTACCCATCTTTAAAATCTGAGTTGCTGTAGACCTAAGCCAGCGAGAAATATTTTTCAAAACTTCATTTATCAATCTCTTTATAATTACTTTATTCAGACTATAATGGACTTTACTATAATGGATTTTTGAAAGGCACCATAATGGATTGCAACAAAGAAATTATTCTATGAAGCAAAGTCAGCCATCAATGATTCATATAAGGATGGAAACTTTTAGAAGTCTTTTGTTCTTTTATCAAGTACTTCTCACTTCACTTCCAATTTTACTGATTGATATGGACCTCACCCAGAGGCTTCATGTAGATGTTGAATAGGAAGGGACACAACATTGAGCCCTGTGGTATCTCACAAATGAGGGGCCTAGGAGCTATTTCTCCCACCTCTGCATCAGTTGAAGTTGGCCCTAAAAGAAGAGAATGGTCTCTCCAATTCCCAACTGCCAAAACTAGTCCAGGATAGCATGGTCGATGTACTAAACCCAAGAGATCAAGGAGCACAAGAACGAATGCATCACCTGCATCCTAGCTCCACCACAGGTCATCTGTGAGCATGACCAAGATTGTCTCTGTACTAAATCCTGGCCTGAAATCTAACTGAACAGGCTTAGATAATCTACTTTCTCCAAAGTGCTCTACAGCTACAGCCAGACTATATTTTCAACAACCTTCCCTAAAAAGGGGGTGATAACTACTGAAAGTATTGGCTTCAGGGATGACTTCTTAAGCAGCGATCCAACCATTGCCTTCTTCAAATCTGAAGTTATTACCCCCTCCTTCAAAGACCATTCTCTAATGGCACAGAGAATCCTTTTTACTTCAAAAATCACTGATTCAAACTCATTCCAGCTCACACCTCAAAACCAGCCAAGGTCCAACTCAGCATGGATCTGAGCAACTCTTACTTCATTTTCAGGATTACCGTAATCTAATCTAAAATGCCAAATGAGTTTGCTCAAAATAATGAGTGCCAGCCTATGCAACACTTAAGAGTTGTTCAAGACATGTTCAAGTCAACTCACTATGAATTCAAAGACCATTTAAAACCATATCTTTAAGGCAATAGCATTAAGCCTTATGCAAAAATCACCTTACCTTTTTTAAAGCGCCAATAGTCTTCTCTGCCCACTGAAGACCCGATCTCATACTTAGGTTCTTAGCTTGCTGTTGAATTAATTGATGCTGAGCACAAATATATGCCATTTGCAACTTAGCCAGTTCTGATCTTTCATCACATATATCACTGCTTCCCTCGTAGCTGGAGGACTTACTTATATGTAAAAGTTGAAAATTTTCTTCATTAGAACTTTCCACCAATTCAGATATACCCTGAAAAAACTGTTTTTTTGTATAGGAAGTAAGAGCTCCGGTGCTTTGTTCTTCTTGATACAAATAATTATCTAAAGGAAGTTGGGTTAGCAACACAGGAGGAGAACCCAGATCTTGCCCAGCTGCAACCGCAAACAAAGAAGCAAGTTTCTTAACTCCTTCAGTTAGGGTTTGAAGCTCATTGTTTATCTTTATATTCATGGCTGTAAAGTTCCCTTGACCATCTTTCAGGATTTTAAGTCCTTCCTCACCTCTTTCTTTAACTTTTAAGGAGATAAAACTATTGGCCGAAGCCATGATTTGAAGTTTGTTACGACGATGAATCTTTACCTGTTTAATCTTTTTAAGAGTTTGAAATTCATTTTCTAACATTTTAAGGGTTTCCTCTTCTTCCTCATAATTGTTAGTGTTCAAATCAAGAGGCTTGGAAATCTTAAGAACTTCACTGAGAGCTTCTTCTCCTAAAATAGATTTTGATGATTTTAGGAGAGCATTAAACGACTGCAACTCTTCTTCAGATAATACATTCCGTTCATTCAAAGCTGTACAGAACCACTCCAGAAATGATTTATTTTCCAAAGTTTCAAATAACCAGTCAAAGTCTTCTCCATTAAGTGAATTTGCCTTGAAATATCCTGTCCGCTTTAGAGTTTCAACAAACCTAGCTCCACCATCCATAATTGACTTCACTTGATGCTGGATATTGCAGCTGTTTCCTACCACATTTTCAAGTATTTGTAGTAAAGAAAAGTATGGGATAATGAAAATAAATTAAATTTTATAAAGACCTGTATTTTGTCAGTTTATTTAGAAAATCATGGCATGGTTTCAAATCAATTAGAATTTTGCATTTTGAGAACAATGCATGTCAATAGTCAGTGGCAAAATAATGCAAAAATGAAACTGGGTGAGCTAAGGGGGAAAAAAAAGCCACCGACTCTTTCTAGGAGGCAAGTAAATTGCTTTAAACTTCAGGAAAAAAGTTCCTTTCTACTCCTTTCCTATTAAAGTCCCTTTTCTTTGGAAATTAAGTGTTACTTCTCCCTTACTTGGTATTAATCTCCAATGTCTTTCCTACATTTATTACCTAGTGATCAGAAGAATCCACCCGCGTACGATTCGAAGGGATCTGTAGGGCTGAAGAGCACCAATAAATCCCAAAGGGGAAGAACAACTGCTCTGCTTTGGCGGGCGAGGGTGGAGAGGAATTCAAACTTCCGCCTTTTCATGCTAACCAGTTTATAGAGCCTCGCGAGAGCCAGCCACATTCTCCCGGCTTCCTAGAGTTTTAGTTTAGAATGATTCAACTTAGTTAAAATTCAGCTTAATTAAAAATGAACTAATTAAATTGATTAAGCATTAAAAGTGGAGCCATAAGAATCCGCAGGCTTATTACTTTCCTGAATTGTCTTTCCCATTAATAATAACAACAGTAACAGAATTGGAAGGGATCTTGGAGGTCATCTAGTCCAACCCCCCTGCTCGCGCAGGGAGGAGACCTATACTAGGGATCCGAACCGCCGACCTTTCTGATCGACAAGCTCAGCGTCTTAGCCACTGAGCCACCTAGCCAGGTTTACATCCAGTACACCCAAGGCACAGGTAGACTCTCGTCTTAAAAGAAGCGTTTTTCAAAAATTGTCAACTTTAAAACGAGTGTACTTCAACGTTTCATGCTGGCTGGGGAATTCCGAGTGTTTATTAGAGTTGCCTTCTTCGAGTTGCCAAGTTTGAAAAACTTATAAGGAAAATAATCAACTTCTACAATTTGTTACTGTGATATTCTCATCACAAGACCGAGGTTGTTCGAGTCTTTTGGTCCAGATTTTTGTAAACAGCTTCCTATGTGTGTATAGGAGAAAGAAAAAGTGCCTTTGCTTAGATCCATTTGAGAGCTAAACAACATATACATACTGGGATGCAGTGGTGGGAGTGTCGGATAAAGCAGGGGTCTCTAACCTTGGCAACTTGAAGCCTGGTGGACTTCAACTCCCAGAATTCCCCAGCCAGCAAAGCTGGCTGGGGAATTCTGGGAGTTGAAGTCCACCAGGCTTCAAGTTGCCAAGGTTAGAGACCCCTGGGATAAAGCACCCGAGACACAGGTACTGCTCTGCTTTCAGCCAGGGAAGGGGTCACTCCAGGTACTTCACAGAGCGAGCAAGCTTGACGTAGCTCTTAATAATTCAAATCTCCACAGGACCGCTCGTCGGCATTTTACAATACCGTTAGTAAGACGTCTCGTCCTCCAGTCATCCGAGTTACCCGAAAAAAAGATTCCCGCAGTTGCTGCTCCCATAGCGTGCTACTCTACATTATATCTCTATCGTATTTCGTTTCTACACCCCCCCTCCCACTCCCGGCCTTACGTTTCGGATGCCGGAAATCGTTATCGGTGACCTACCGGAAGTGGTTTCTGCGGAGGATTGTCCCGGCTGGAGTGGTGTCGTTCCTGAGAAGCTGCCTCGCGGATTTCAGCGGCTGGGAAGCGGTGAGTTGTTCGGCCTGGTAGACACGTTTCTTTCTGGCGTGTTTTGTTCGTCACGAGGACTCGAGAGCCGTGGGGAAGGGGCTGGTGTCAATGCTGGGGGGGCGGAAAGTGACTTAATGCCGGGCTTGAATCTCTTCAGCCAGCCTTCCCCTAACGGTGCTTCGCTTTGCATTGGGAACGCCGCTCTTGCCTCTGATAGGACGTATCGATGCCCTCTTAAAAGCGCCCCGTGTCTATTTTCCTCCCTGAACCCCCTGAAAATTACGTTTTATCCTCAGAGCTGCCACGTCTGTAGACACACAGGGTGTGAAAAGCACCCTGTAAGGGTTGCTCCGCTTTCTTCCCTTTTAGTAAGGACTTAAGAGGACTTTATGTCAATTTTTTTTTTTTCTGTAGGCTTCACCTCTTCGTTATTTGTGAACTCCCGGATGGATTTTTCTCTTGGGCTGACTTTCCCACACATGTTTTTTTTTCCCATCATTTCTTTCCTCTATTCCAGTGTTTCTAAACCTTGGTAGCTTGAAGATGGGTGGACTTCAACTCCCAGAATCCCCCAGCCAGCAGCGCTGGCTGGGGGATTCTGGGAGTTGAAGTCCACCCATCTTCAAGCTTCCAAGGTTGAGAAACACTGCTCTATTTTCTAGCATTCTTCTCTGCTTCCCCCCCCCCCCCCCTTTATGATTAAAATGAAATGGTATAGCAAGATATTCATAACTCAAATGTTTGGGTAGCTTAGAAATCAAGCGTGGTGGCTTTGGTAATGTGATACTATTCCATCACTCTTCTAAAATCTCTTCTTTGCCTACAATTCCCAAGTATTTTTCAACGTTATTTAAAATATGATCCATGCAAGATGAATACAGATTATACCATACTTCCTTCGGGAGTCCTTCGGGAGAAGGGCAGTATATAAATCCAAATAAACCTAAACCTACTTGTGCCTTCCAGACAGTGCTGACTCCTACCAACTGCCTGGATTTCTGCATGTTTTTTTGGCAAGATTTAAGAAATGGTTTACTGTTGCATTCTTCCTAGACCTGAGAGAAAGTGACCGTCCCACAGTCACTCAGCTGTCTTTGTATCTAAGGCAAGACTAGAAACCAGAGTTTTCCAGTTTCTAGCTTGGTGCCTTTACCACTGCACCAAACTGACTCTGTTACTGTACATATAATGCTAGGAAATTAGGTACAGCAATAAATTATGTATCAAAACCAAATCATACCTATCAGCCTACTCTTAATATGGAGCACTCAAAGTATATAATATTAGGACTGCAACTGCCCCAGATTCTCCAGGTAATGTAGTTGTTTGTCATGCTAGGTAAAATTTCTAAGAATTATAGATCTGAATGGTACCATAGGAGAAAGAGCTACCTATGTAGTGTCACTTTGTGTGTGCACAAGCAACAAAAACAAATCTTTTCAAATCCAGTTTGGTGAAACTGATTTTGATTCCGATTAAATTAGCGATGTTTACAAACTAAGATTTAGAAATCTAAAATCTCAAAAACACAAGTCAGTCCATTTTGTTTTTCACAGTGCCCAAGCTGCCCCTCTAGGTTTCTTGCAAAAGGAGATGGAAAAATTACCCTTTTCACCATTTTTCTGAGATTGGTATTTTGGAGGTACAGTATTTGAGTCTCAAGATTAAAAGCTCTTGATGTATCTGTCCTCCATGAAGTTATCCAAATCCTTTTTAAAACTATCCAGGCTAGTGGGCATTATTACATCTAGTGCTAATTAATTCAAGAATTTAACAGTTCTTGTGGACTAGGATGAGCAACCCAAAATAACTAAAACTTTTAAAATGTTTATCTGATATACTGAAACTGAAGGCACAATGTAGCTTTCTGATGAGATGAAGCATGTCCACTTTCAGGGCATGTATTTGACCAATACATCTTTGATTTCATATTTTAAAAGGCAACATGTATAATTTTGGGCAAAATTAGATTAAACATTCAGGTAGTAGTGCCCCTTCTATAGGAATAATACCTCCCACAGGAAAGAGCCTGTAGTACAGTGGACTAAAGCACTGTTATTAACAGATTAACATCTGCTGCTTGCAATTACTGCAAGTTCAAATCTCACCAGGCTCAAGGTTGACTCAGCCTTCCATCCTTTCAAAGGTAGGTGAAATGAGGACCCAGATTGTGGGGGCAATAAGCTGACTTTGTATAAATATACAAAAGTATGAAGGCTATTTGCTTAACGCATTGTAAGCCGCCCTGAGTCTCCGGTGAAGGGCGGCATATAAATTAAAAGCAAAAAAATAAATAAAAAAAATATTCAAATAAATTTGTGAAGGGTTTTGAGCAAAATGACATTCAAAGTCATTTTCTTTGCCCAGTCCCAGTTGTGTTGGTATACTGATCAATTGACAAAGCAGATACTGATGTAATATCTAAGTATGGTCAGGCATTTTTTAATCTCGGTTGTTTTATTCAATAGGTAAATCATGGAATTAGCTGATAGCAAGGCTTGTGTTTTCTTGATTCCCAACTTGGTACATCACAGACTTAACCAAAGTTAAACAATTAAGTTCTACTATTTCTATGTGTATTTCAATTTTAAACAAGATCTCTATCTCTGTATAGTATAGAGAACAAGACAGACAATTCTGTCTTCTAAATGAGGACAATATTTTTATAATGTGTCTTCAGGATTTTTAACAGTATTCAGCTAACATTACTTCTGGCCATGCTGCCTAGAATGAGAATTTCCTAATCATTACTATGTGTTTTTATCCATAAGGAATTTTGAGGTCCAATGTGTGTGGGGTAGGGATTTATCCTGAAAAATATACCTGTAAATTCAAGAATGAATATATATATATATATATTTATATAACTATGTAAATACAGATATAATATTGATATACTTTATGTAAGAATACACATACAATATGAACTGTTCCTTATTGGCAATTATCATACTTGTATTCTGATAATATGGGCAGTATTTTTGCCAGATTTATTCTGAAAATCAAGCTTACACCTGGCCAAAAAAAATCCAGTTAGGTGTTTTTAATAAAAATAGTACCGGTATGTGAAAGAAATTCCTGGACTGACTGATTGTCTATTCATTTACTTTATGGTGGTGTACTATCCTGTGTTTCCACATAGTTTGACTAAATAGATTGGGCTAAGAGTGAGTGAAGACTATATTTATATAGGCATTTATAAAATTTCCTGACAGTGAGAACAATCAGCCAGTAGAAGACCTTGCCTTCAGAAGTAGTGGATGCTTTATCACTGGAGGCTTTTAAGAAGAGACTGGACAGTCACCTGGCTAAATAGTAAAGGGTCTCCTGCTCCAGCAGGGAGTTGGACTAGAAGACCTCCAAGGTCCCTTCCAACTCTGATATTCTATGTTCTATAGGCTATAGTCACCAAGTGACTTCTATGACCAGAACCCAGCCACTCTTAATCCAATCATTTTATCATCTTGGCTCTCTGTGCAAGCAATGCCATGGATGTTTAAACAACCTTTCTAGACACTTATCCTTGACCTTTAGATTGTAAGAGATATAATCCAACATATCTGATAGGTATTAAGTTCTGGAAGACTGAATTAAATAATCTGACATGCTTGTTACTGATGATGTTATCTAGTTTGGGTAATGAAACATCTGCAAGAAAAGAACCAAACTTAGAGAGCATCAAAGACCCACTCATTTCAACCCTGAGCTACGCATATTCTCATTTATCAGTTTTTGTCTCTTATTTTGATAGCATTTCCCATGATAATTTGAATGTCTATTAAAAGTCCTTCAGGAAAAACATCATTCAGTTAATTAATCTCCAGATAATGTCATAGAATAATCTATTTAGTATAAAATAGTTCTTGGGTTATGACAGCAATTGAGAGTGGGACTGCCATTGCTATGCGATGCAGTCCTAAAATGCAGTGTCACATGACCATCATTTAGCAATGGCAATCCTGACGGGTCCGATGGCTGTTATGTTAACTGAAGATGTGGGTTGTTGAAGGAGAAGCAGAGGGAGTCCCAGGTAAGGAGCACAGAGTTGCCACAGAGGGTAGGGAGGGCTCGGGAGGCCTAGC